CCTGCGGGGTGAGGAAGGAGCCCGGGACGCTGGACTTGGGGCGGGGAGGGGGGTCCCCGGGACGTACCTCCTCCAGGTAGATGTCCTCGTTCCAGTTGCCCATCCGCACTCCAGGACCATACAGGTTCTGCGCCATGGCGCCCTCTCCTCTGTCAGCCCCTGACACCGGACACCGGTGGTGTTAGCGTGCCTCGTAGTCATGGCAACCGGACCCCCGCGATTGGCCAGGCTCGGGGCCTGCTGGCCAATCAGTGACAGCACAGGAGCCAGGGGCGGGGAGGAGTGAGGGTTGGAGGGGTCGCCCTCCCCACCCCCTGCGTCTTCCACCCCCCAGGGGAGATCTACCTGAGCTGGGCTGCAGAGCAGGGGGGAGGAGAAACTCCAACGCGCAGGCCTCTTAGAGTTAAACACGTCAAAACCTTTTCCTTCTGCGGCTCCGGGCGGGCTCAGTCCGGGAAGGGTGGGGCTCTTGATCTCAGGGTCGTGAGTTCCAGCCCCACCTTGGGCGTAGAGATCAAATTTATTGAAAATAAATACGAAACCATTTTCTGATGTGGGGACCAAAGGCAGAAGGAAATGTAGATGAAATCAAATTGCCTTATAACCTGCAGCCCGCTGACAAATACTTGGGGCGGGCAGAGGAGGATTTTCCTTCTGGAACTCTCCGCTGTCCTAATGCTAATGCTTTGCCGGAGGGGAGAACAGCCTTAGCTTGACAATAGCCAGGCCTCCTGGACCCTGTGAGTCCTTCTTAGCATATGAAAGTCCTTCTGGACGCTTCACCCTGTGTTTACCTCCCCCAACTCCCAAGTGTATAATCAGTCTCTCCTCAAGGCCCTGTCTGTCCCCTAGTCCTCTCCCTTCGATGAGGGAACAGAAAGAAAGCTGACACCCCACCGCCCCCTCCTCAGGAGGGACATGTGTGACATTCCTCAGACACGGATGCCCCAGGGCAAAGGAAAGGAAAAAAAAAAGCAAACAAAGGGTTAACTGATAGAGATCACAGCCCTGGGGAACCGGAGTCCCCATCAGTTTACATATGTCTTGGTAAATTACAAGAAAAAGGCAACTTTGCCCAAAGCCTAAGCTCCAGAAACCTATAGGCGGTTTCCTGGAGCCCAGACATCACCCTCCCCTCCACAGTGATGTGGGAACAGAGACCAGAAGGAAATGGCAGGTGACATTAAATTTCGTCAAAACCTGCAGGCCCCTGAGATACTTGAGGCAAATACGTAGAACCTTCCC